CCGGCTCGGCATCTTCTCCCCATGACTCACGGGGTGGCGAGGCAGGAGCCAGTCAGTGGGGGCACAGAGTGCCTGAGCTGGCAGGAGCCAGTCAGTGGGGGCACAGAGTGCCTGAGCTGGCAGGAGCCAGTCAGTGGGGGCACAGGGGCACAGAGTGCCTGAGCTGGCAGCTCCAGGGAACAGCTCAGTGCTGGGATCTTTGCCTTACAGACTGAACCCAACACCATTTCCCTGTGGAACTGACAGCAACCACAGTTTGCTAAGCAGATGAAGTTTTGTAACTTTAGAATTTTTAAATTATAATATTAATTCTCCAGTATTGATTCCTATGTAGATTAAAGGGTTTTATGCATGGTGCTCTGCATTTCTCACCAGAAGCCTGGGGAGAAGCAACGTGGAAATCATGCTCAGAACTGTCTTGACCTACAATAATGTATTTTTTATTCATGATGCTATGACCCATCTGTCATGAAGCTTTTTTTCAGTGAGGCAAGAGTCTGGCTGCCTGCTCTTCATCTCCCAAATGCTTGCTCTTCTCAGCACTCCCTTTAGACCAGTTTCTTTCCCAAATTAAAAGCACTGACAGCAGTAGCCCTGCAACAGGGATCAGAAGCCAGGACTTAAAAGAAACACCGAGCAGTGCCAGTTTTCTCAAGTAAGAGCTGGTTATGAAGCAGAGGTAACAACTATTACAAGTTTTTAAAAGCAGATGTAGTGACTGTAAGCTTCAGACATTTAAAATCCAACCTTCAAGCAAACAGAATCACAATACAGTTTCTGAAATAATTTAAATAGAAATAATAACCAAAACCAAGAGCGTAAAGCTTTCTGTAATGAATGGTTTTGAACTTTCTGCTGCAAATGGAGTTTAGCATGAAAATTTCCATCTCCATTTTTCATTCATAAAGGCAAAGCTATCTCCAAGACAAAGCAAGCATTAACATGAGGACAGGAAAGAAAAAAATCAACATTTTCCAGTCTCAAAAAAGCCACTTAAGTCCTTCCGTAACCTACACCAAAGTTTGTATAAAGAAAATCTGAATCCTATAGCAAATTACACTCCAGCTTCTCCAAACCTTTTTCCCCTGTCACCCCAGTTTAGACAGACATCTACAATTTTGTCTCTGTGTGTGTCCAGAGCTGTTCTGTGAGTGTGCATAGGGGAGATCTCAGAGCCCCAACATCTGCAGACTGCTGCTGGCGCAGCCGGCACTACATTGCCAAATAAGGTCATTGTGTGCTTAATACACATGAAGAGCTAAATGAGTACAAAGCACTCTGGAGTGGCCAAATAGTTATGAAGACTGCTAGCTTGTCAACTATCAGTTCATGGCACCACATAAAGCCATTTAAATGAACTTAAAGTTAACAGGATAGGTCCCCAGGGAAAAAAAAAAAAGTAATAAGAACATTAACACAAGCTACCTTCCTTAAACTTATCATGACATTTCGAAGAAATAACTTTCAATCTAGTACCTGATATAATGTGTTTCAAATATGACTAGTAGTAATACAACCATCTTTTTCAAAGAGCTTTTATTTGTCTGCTTCCTTTCTTGGATATATGTAACACACAAGAGTACATAGTTCTTACATTGGTGTATTATTTATAACAGGAGCTCTGAGTTCAAAGACAAAATTCAGTGATCCTCTTTCCTGTGAACAGAGAGGTCAGCTTCTTATTCACATGAGAAGCCAACACAGCAGAATCCCTCCATACTAGAAGACTCCTGGAAGCAGAATATTAAACCCTAGTTCAGGTATACATAATCTCATAGTACAGAAAATATATAACCTTTACAAGAAAAAAGTGTTTTATAAGAATTCCTTCAAAAAAGGTAAACATTCATGTAAGCCTCCACTCTACCAACTTCCCAAAAATCAACTGTGGTCAAAGACCTCTGTGGCTACCTGCGCCTTCTGGACATGAGACCATTTTAGAAGAGCACCATCATAACAGTAAAATTGTTAATCAATCCTTTAACTGTCATAAATATACATATTTTGTAATTAAAAATACAAGAATCTCACATTTCTCAATTGCAGTTTGTCAACTTGCATTATATATACATACATATAAAGCCATATAGGACCCTCTAGCACAGAAAATCCACAAAGCCCTTACTGTTCATTGTAAGCCAAGTCAAATCACAGGTTTGCACAAAATAGTTCTTCTCACATAAAAAAAAAAAGTTTAGGTTGGCAACAACTGTGGTAAAAGGAAAAAAGAAAGACGAGTTAAAAGTAGGATATGTAAAATGTTTTTAAAGTAGGCCCTCCTAACCTACGCCTGCCCAATGAACAGACTCAACGTGTTCTCGCAGACCGAAGTGCAGAGTGTTGCACAAGAACCGTTCAGCATTGCAAACAGCAGTACTCACATGCTCCACCTCCTTTTCCTTAAATCACAGGTTTTAGTAATTCAAACAGTTTATTATGCAGATTTTAAAACCCTAAGATATTAAACATTAGAAGTTCAAAAGTTGTTTCAAATCTTAACATGAATAGTGAAACATACTTTGGAGGCACCACTGAAAAAAAAACAACCAGAAGCTGATTGTCTTACAGGTAACCATAAAGATTCAAGAAATTATTTTTCTATTTTGAGTTCAAAATCTCAATATTCCCACAAAAGGTGAGAGCTGATGACTCCATTTTCTGTATTCTATACAGTCAGTGTTAACATACAAAACTTGGCACTAGAACTGCCTCTTTCAGAGCCATACAGTCTTTGCATGCACTGTAACCTACAGTCAATTTCCAACTGTGCTGGAAATTTTCTATTATTCTGTATCTGACTTATCTATTAAAAATAAACATAGGCCAGATTTTTGGTTTAAAAAGCCTGTCTTCTCCCACAACTTGAAAAACAAGTATCAAAAAGGAACAAACAGCAGAAATATATGAAATAAGCACATTGTGTTAGTTATGAAGCTCTTAACGTGTGACAGCCACAGTCTGAAGAACATTAAAAAAATTCCTATATACAAGTTTTATATACACACTATGATTAAGAGCTTGAGAAAGTTACTGTACCTGTTTTTGCATTTATTCCTAACACTTCTGCACCTAGCTGCAACTCATGCAAAAGCGTTTTCAAATGTGTTATTGTGCAATAATCTTTTTTTAATTCAGCCTGGCAATAGAACGACGTCAATACTTTCACCTATAGGTATCTAAAAGTACACACTTCTCAGTTAAAAGTCAGGCCCTAGTTTCTTGGATAAAACATGGCATACTTAGAAGTTCTGAAGCCGAGCAGGTCTCTCATTTCATTTCGGAATTTGGACAAGTCTTGCCGCAGCTCGTTCAGGTTTTCCACAGTTGCCTGGTCTGTGCTTTGCATCTTCTGTCTCATGGAAGTCAAGTAACGGTGGACCAAGCAGCACATCACCTTCTGATAATTCTCATCTCTCTTTTGCTTCAGATTTCTCCATTCCTTAAAACAAATATCACACATTTACTATGGAAAAGTGGTTCTGGAACCTTACAGCCTCTACACAATAATACAGAGTATAAATATGAACAAAATAACAAAGTTATTTTATAGTTACATCCTGATGCATACAAATATACAATGCATGTAAATTGCCAGCAAAATTTAAATTAGATTATCAGATGCTGTACTAACAAACCTGAAAATGTTTAATCTATCTGGCTTGGTAATTGTCCTATGAGCAATTAGAGGTTCCATAACCCTGAATGTTTCTCAGTGCACATTCCATAAAGTCTTTGAATTTTATTTATTTAATGCTATTTTTGTCAACAAGAAGAGGCAAGACTAGCATGAAAAATTACAGGCTACAATAAAAATGTTTACTCAACAACAACAGCAAATTATCCCTGTCTCTACCAATGAGAGGCTTCAGTGATCCTTTTTGGTTATTTATTTAGACACTTCTGTAAAACATCTAAAACTCATCACCTTCCCCAAAGAATACTCCAGCCTCACCATTTCTGAGATTAGCACATATTAACTTGAGGTTTCTATGAGTTTTTAATCAATGAAGGCATTTTTTCCAGACTATTCCTGGGGGGAATTGGGGGTTGGAGGGAAAGGGATTGAAATCCTCTAAACAGAAAGTTAAGAGAACCTTAATGAACTAGAAATAAGTAAGCCTTATTTATTGGATAACGCACACACACGACAGGCACTTTCATCCAGCAGTTTGCTGATCCATTTTAGCAAGCAGCACCTTCCCAGCTGCAGAGCCTAGAGCTCTCCCAGCCCTTTCTCACCTTTAGGCTGTTTTGACGTTTCACTTTGCCACTGGATGTATGAGAGCAGATCCATTTACTGAGACTGTTCAGAAGGTAACACATGGTCTTGGGGGAGGGAATAACATTGAAAGGTGGAGGTAGTGTGCATTTGTCATCAAAGTAGCTAAGCCAAAGCTTGGCACGAGCAAACTTCCATTCCTTATCTTCATGATTCTAAACCATCAGAAACATTAGGGGAGATCACAAGCAAAAATATTAACAGGTTATTTTGAAAGTTTTATTTTCTCCTACCTGAAAAACTTAATTTTTATAATATTTTAATAAATTTGTTCTAATATACTGATATTAAGTAATTTAAACCCCACAAATTCATTATATACTCTACTCTAAATATACAATTCAGCTATGAGGGTGTAAACTCCTTATCAAATGCCCAAGCACCACATCTTATCAAGAACAGCATCTTGACTTGAACAGCCATTTTATCAAGAAAGTCTTAAGTTCTCAGAAGGCCAGAGACTCACACATGCTCAACATGCAAAGTACCCATTTTATTTGGACCAGAGTAAGAAGTTCATATTTGAAGTAAAGATGTCCCTTGTGAGCTCAGAGACAGAGCTCACCTATGGAGGTCTGTTAATTACTCTACATACTGAAGGAAGAAATCAGTATAAAACCCAAAGATACAGCTAGAAATTATTGATAATCAATCAGAAAGCACTTACTGCTATCAGCTGAAAACTTTTATGGAGCATTGCCACCAGGAGCTTTGTTAATACTATCACAACAACCACATTGTAGGTACCAACAATAACAGCACCCACAAAAGACTGTAATTCTTCCCCATAGCTAAAACGTGTGACAAAGATTGCTACGTGTGCCAGGGAGAATATATACCAGAACAGAGCAAAGCATGTGCCAATAAACCTACAAAAACAAGGGAAAAAAAATATGGTTAGGTAAAGCAAACAGCAAAAGTGAGTTTACTTAATGTAAATTCAAGTTCAGTGAAAAATTCCAGTTTTAATTACTAGGCATTAAGGGCTAGAACAATACAGCTATGTCATAGATATCACTCACGAATGGAATGTGTCATTGCTCTGCTGCTCACAGAAAATACCCGCACAGTCCTTCTCTTCATTTACAGTAAATCCTTTATCATAAAGTTGTGTCAGTCCAATTGTGAATGAGAACAACACAAGAAGAAACATGCCCAGAAATTTTCCAAAATCTTGTAGCATCTGCCCCATTGAAATCTGTGAAATAGATTTATTTCCAACTTTAGTAAAATTTGTAGTTGTTTGTATTCTCTCCTGCAGCTTATAATCAACAAGAAAACCATCTATTTAAATTTTAAATGTTTAACTAAAACTTAAGATGCTAAAAAGAAAGGAGGCATCCTTGTACCATTTTTCAGTGCAAAATTCTAGAAGTTAAAAAGAAAATTTAAGCAGTTTTAACATCACCTGGTAAATTTATATTCTTCAGCTAACCATGAGCAATAGCGTGTACAGCTTATTCTTTATTTGTAGTGCTAAATGCTAACAAGGAACTTACAAGTTAATAGATAAAAGCAGTAAATGAAATGCATTTGAACATAGGTGCCTTCACAGAAAGTTAAGAAAAACACTTAATAAGGACAGTGAATTACTCAAACAATTGGAATCATATTTCATCACTAGTCAGAAAATAGTGCGCTGTGGTGGGTTAACCCTGGCTGAGCACCAGGTGCCCACCAAGCCACTCTGTCACCCTCCCCCTTTCCTCTCCCTCCTCTGCAGAGCAAAAGGGGAAAGGAAAATAAGATAGAGACAAAACCCTTGTGGGTAAGAACAAGGAGAGTTTAATTAGAAAGCAAAGCCAAGCAATGCCGTGCATGGAATTGAAGAGGAAAAAACCCCAAAGGTTTATTCTCTGCTTCCCATCAGCAGGTGATGTCTGGCCCCTTCTTGGGAAGCAGGGTTCCAAAACACATAGCAGTTGTTCTGGAGGACAAAGGAGTAGCCCCACCCTTTGTACTCCTTTGTACTAGCTTTAGTTGAGCTGACGTCACATGGTGTGGGACATCCCTTTGGTCAGTTCAGGTCAGCTGTCCTGGTTATGTTCCCCCCAAGCTCCTGCCCCCCATAGGAAGAGCCTTGGTGCTGTGTGAGCACTGCTCTAGTGGTGGTCACAACACGGGTGTTAGCAACACCCTTCTGACTCCCAATACAAGAGCACTGTACCAGGAGGGCTGCTATGAGAAAATCATCTCAGCCAGACCTGACACACACCAAAGCCCATCTGCAGAACACAGAATTCACTGTAAGCTTTATGTAAGATGTTAAATATACACAATGTGTAGGTGTGTAAGCACATTAAAATTGAATGGTGTAAACTACAGAAGATATGATGCTAAATTTAGGCCATTAATTTTCGTTGCAGAATATCCTACACAGAAATCTTCAACAGTACAAACACATCTACAAACTTCTTCAGAGAACAATACACTATTATAAAGAATGCAAATACGTAAAATGGGGTCGGGTAAATCTAATCCTCTATATAAATCAGTTGGTGGAAAGGCTATTCCTATATGAATCACCACCTGTACCAAATCATAGTCCAGAACTGCATCACTGGTCAGGTTTTGCAAGTACAAATTTACTGGGAGATGAAGAAGCAGCTCCTGCTCCTGCTCCCTCCCATGCTGCTGGAAATTCAGCGAGCAGATTCTCTGATCCTCTGCACAGTTTGCCATGGTCATGCAGAATCTGCACCTGCAGGCAGAGCTGTGCAGCAACTGTATCACTCGATCAGGGGAAGAATGTCATCCCCATCACACTGCTCCACCTCATCTAACCCTTTACAGAAAAACAACCCAACAACAAAACATTCACCTTTTAACTGGCACATGGTTCCAAGCAAGACACAGACAAAGCAGATGAAACGGGAATACACAAAAAGTATAAACCATCCAAAACTATTTTGTTTGGAATGGAGACTTGGAATAGAAACCAGTCCAAGTCCCAGATACTTTCTTCACAGTCTTGCTATTCCTTTCTAAGTACTTAGAATTTCTAAGAATTTGAAATGCAATTATTTAATCTAGGTGAAAATGATTCTATCTTCTGTCAATAATAAAAAAACACCACAGAGAACCAACTCACAAATCTCTACTAAAATAGGTTTTATAAATCCATAAGTAACTGAATGCTTAAAAATAACTCTAGTAGCCAAGAGAACATTGTGTGGCTGCCTCCACCCCCACCCCCCTGCTAGATTTCGGTGCCATACTTGATTACCACCATTTGAACTTTGTGAACTACTTCCAGAAAATAATGTAAGAGTTGTTGCACAAGCTGTACTGGCCAACAGTAATAAAAAGCTTCAGTGTGCCACTGAATGAGGTGACTGTTGACTGTTTTTATTTACTTGGAAAATTTCATAAAGTAGCCTCCTAATAAAAAAAAAATGTGAAAGATGTAGTACATAAATATCCACATTAAACAGTGAATCTCTTTAAAATGTGGAGAGACTTGTGTTCAACCAATCTGCATAACAAGCCTAACACTGCAACATCAAGGCTAGTATTTTTTCCAAAGTATTCAAGTACATTTCCATTTAAAAATGTTTAAAACAAAAAATACGAAAATAATTAACAGCAACATAGTCACAGCTAGACAGAAAAGGACAAGAAGCAAACCAAACAAAGCCCTGAGAAGAGAAACAGGCATCTTCCAACAATATTACACTGGGAGCTATGAATGCTCTTTTTAAAGCACTTTTGGCGATGATTTAAGAAAGACCAACTGAACAACTGGTTATTTTTCTTTTCAAAGATGGACTATTCAGTATGAAACAAAAATATGCTAAAAGATAATTATTCATTCAGGAAGACTGAAGGTTTAGCTCATTTTAATGAGTTATAGTACTTAAACTGGAGGTTTTCAGGTATGTCTTAAAGCCTTTATACAAGACCCAGTGATCTGAGCCAAAATCATTTACTTCAGAACCTCCTTTGGTATAACACTAGTTGCAGAGCAGAAGTTTAAAAAAAAAAAATGCTGCTCCCAAATATTTATTCAGCCTTTATGCTTAATAGTGATAATGTTTTTTGGATGATCTTTTCAGATCATCCTCTTGCCACAAAACTCTTAAAACTAGTTCTGTTCATTAGAAGACAGGAGAAAGCATTGATTTGATGTATTAACAAATTCCATCAGTATACTGGATGACTACCCTATTTATTCCAAGCCTGCTTTTATACAAGAGACACTTGCGAATTCAGTGATGAAGTTAACAACCAGCAATGTTATCAGGACAAAAATAGGTAAATGTATAAATAAGTGGTACAAGAAAGCAGTGACTTGTCTGATTTGATTTGTCAACGTAAATCTCTCAGGTAGCAAGGCCAGAGAAGCTGGAAGTATATTCATGCAAAGCTTTTTTCAGTATGCTATGCTTTTAATAACATAGGTACTGTAGTCAGGAAGGGCTTTTCACTGGCAAAGGAACAAAATCAGTGAGTGCTGAGGACTGAAGATGAACAGAAAAAATCACAGTGAGCTGCCTTCTAAGGGGTGTCCTCTACTCACAACATTTTTTATAAGAAAGCTTTCTTCCTCCTTTTAATCTAAAAAGGCTTGAGATCTGGCAAATTCCAAGTAAGAAGAAAACTGTTCTCCCTTCTTATAACTGAACAGATGACATAATAGAATAGCACAAATAGATGACAATTTCAATACTCTTGATTTATATTCTTCAAACAAAAGCAATTTGAACATTTCAACTCAATGGGCAACTTCAGAAGAGATTACAGATATAAAGGGAAAGGCTTTTGATTACTCTTCCTTGCTACACATCTCATTCATCTTCAGGAGGTAAAGAAGTTAGGGCAATCATTTGCACAGAACTTTACAGGAAGAACCTGATCCTTAGTTTTCAAACTGCAGACATGCAGTATGTTAAGCTAACTGCAGACAAAAACCAAAAAGAAGCAAGGCAGTTGTCATGGAAAAAAATACTAGAAGAAAGTGAACTACACTAGGTCTTGCTTTTTTATTTTTCTTATTTCCTTCCATCTAAATCAGTATGTTTTACACGAGAGATTAAAAAACCAAACTTCAATGCTATACCACTTCTTTCTATTTTTGATATTTATTTCCTTACTTCAATTTCTTCTTTTTCTGTTTTCAGTACAACTCTCCACAGCAAATTAAGATCAAGTTTCTATTTTCTCAAACAGTCCTGACACTCACCTGGAGTGGTCCCAGAATAGAGCTGGTTGTATACATGAAGAAGAGACGCAGGTAACTAAGAACGTTGGCAAAAGCAAAAAGACCTTCTGCCACTAGGGTGGGATGGAAGGCGTCCCAGTCCTTCCTCTCAGCATAGTCATGGAACTGCAAGGCAGAAAGGACAAACCGAGGTCACTGACACTATAAACACAGAAAAGCACCCATGCACTGCTCCCTACTTCTGCCTCCAAAATGGGCAATAGCATAAAAGAAATCAACACAGTTCACAGATGGCTTACCTCTTCTGATACTGCACTCTTTTTAGACAAAGGCATCTTAAAATCTATTCCAGAGGGAGCTAGAAATCAGATTATTTAAATTCAGCACCTAACTCTGCCAGCCATTTGCTCAGCAAATCATTTACTCCTCTGTTCTGCTTTTCCTTCTACTCGTTTTACATGGTTTGTCAAAAGAGGGACTCATGTACTTTATAAACATGTGTTTGTTAGCATCACCCAGTGTAACAGGCCTCAATTAAAAAACATTAAAATGCTGCAAAGAAAGCTAACGTACACACGCAATTGCAGTGTGGTGACAACTGGTCTTAGCCAGTTTTGGAAAGACTTAAGACCTGGGGTTCCTTCAATGTATTTTGTGGATGATTACAGAGAATGGAAGTCAGATGAAAACTGTTGGTGTAAACACACCCTTATAGTATATCCGCTAGGTACCGCTCCACCATTCATGGCATGTCCACATATCCCTAAGTTTTGGCTTGGTGGAGAACATTCTGCATTTACATTACCAGCTTCTGCAGTCTCAAAGTGGACATTCAAAAACTAAGGAACTCAAGGCTGCTGCAAAATAACCACCCCCAAAGTGTGCCGCACAAAGACAGCAAGAAACAGGGATAAACGTGTTTTTATACATTGCAATTGCCACGTGTACAAATCCTGCCACAGAGACTGTTCCTTTGCTTCTTACAGCTTCAGTGCCTACAATATGGACCTAAAATGTAAACCAGATTTTTAATTTGGTTTTCTAAATTTTATGGCAAAATGTATAGTTCATAAATGAAAGTGGCAAAAAAGCCATCATATGCCTGTTACACAGGACAAGAATTCTGCATCTTCAAAAAAGTTACAACTTAAACTAGTAGCAAAGGGTTCTTACAGACACTTGCTGGTTGCAAAGCAAACAGCTGGGAAGGCAGCTCACATGGCATTCTCTGTTTTATCCAAGAAATGGAACTTTCTTTCCCAAATGATTACCAGCCTCTGAATCAATGTAAGGATAGGGAAATGAACCAAACACCAAGCTAGGAAGAACTGAACCAGTTTAATTTCCCTTCCAGCTGCAGACAGCAGTCAAGTCACAGTCTGCAGTACAGAACAGTGGTGCTACTGCACCGGCTTGAATGTTGTTAAAACAATTGGTCTGGCAGCTTGCTGTATGTTATACAGCTAACAACACATGCAACACAACAGGAATGATCATTTTCAAAGCTTGTATCTTCAATCAAATCCAGATGGTTTTTCACAGAGAAAAGACAAGGCTCCTCTGTGGTCTCAGGGCCAAAGAAACCCCTCAGCAAACCAAAGACAATTAAAAAACCTCTCAAAACCAACTGTAACATTTGAGCATATGTAATCAAAAGCTAAATAAAACTTTCTGCAGCAAAAAAGCTTTAGGCCATCTAAACAGAGCGTTTACTATTAGCTTTCTGTGTAGTACTGGTCTATGGAATCAGGCAAACCCAGATGCAGAATCAGATGAGCAGTACAGGGAGACTTCCCCAAATGAAAATCAAGCCCTTTGGAAAACCAGTCAGTCCTTCCAAGGAAAACAGTAGATCTGTCCAGGGTCCCTGAGTACTTGAACACATCTTGATGTGTTTTCTAACTCCCATTTGCCTCATCAACTTCTCTTTCAATCCCAAGATGCAACAACACCGGATATTTTGACAATTACATGGCAGATACCACATAGAACACTTAACTTGGAAGGCTGAATTGCATGCACATAGTAGGCTATTACTAATGCAGTGCACTTAACTACAACACACTACTAACACACCACATGGAACACCTCTTCCCAGATTTTGCAGCACTGTAATAAAATTGTATTTGTTCAGCCAGTCCCAGAGGAGCTTTGGATCTATGAAGACAGGTACTCACCTTGTTATGGGCAACTACTTTGAGAGCAAAAGTTGCCAAATACAGGGAATTCATGACAAAACTAAGCTGATTACGGGATTCTTCTAAAAAGTCTTCTAAACCATCATACCACAGTCTTTTAACATCTGACCACACCATTCCTGCAGGAAAGAAAAGCAGCCAGGGGGGTCAAGCCATTGCACTGAACAGACATTCTTTTACAACTAAAGCACTTTTGACTGGCTTTTGTAAACTGTATTTAAGCAAAAAGAAAGCCGAGTAATCAAGTAAAGTTATTTAAAACTTTGCATTGAGTAGCAAGCACTAATCATAAGGCAACAAGATATTTAACCTTTTCAAGTCTACTTTCCAATTAAGAAACACATTCTCTGATAAAAAAAAAAAGAGCATGAGAGGAAATTAACAAGAGAAACATTGGAAAGGAAAAGGTCAAATTTAAACAAAGGTAGAGGGCTAGAACACAAATGGTTTTTCCAGATGAAAAGCTTTCACCTTTTTTCAGAAGTACTACAGAAAGTATTACATTACTATATAAAGCCAAAAATAAGCCAAAAGTCATAAGCCAAAAGTTGACGAGTACTCATCAAAAATTATACCTGTGCTCCCTCTACTGCATCAACCAGAATTAACATGTGTCTTTTCAGGTACAAGTATGATACAGGTTTTCTCCTTTTTTTAAGATGAGAATTTTAAAATGTTTAGGAAAATACACAGCTTTTATATTAATTTGTTACTGCACAACTGAATCTCACTTGCATCACTCTGAATGCTACCAGACCTTCTGAAGAAAAATTTATGTTCATTTTCTGTAACATCCTACAATATTCTGGTTTTGAAATTTCAGTTTGTGATAACTAGAGATCATTCTAACACTTCACATCCCTTCCTCAAAACACATGGGTGATTTTGTTTTGTTTTGTTTTTTTTACTGTAACACTGTCCTCCGAAGAGTAAAACTTGGTCAAGCAATTCATAATTTCATAAGAAGGCAGCACAAATCATGACTGTTCCATCAACACCAACAACTGGCATCCAGTCTACTCAAACCATACCTACCTATTAGCCATATTATCAGAAGATAATCTATCCTCTCAAGGGCTGGTCCCATTGTATTCTTCTTATTCTCATTGTAGACAAGGGAATACAAATTAAGTAACAACAGAAATGTGAAATATGAAGCCCCATGAATAATAAACTTCATAAAAGGAGTATGAATTATTCGACCTACTCGAGATTTAGGGGCTAACAAGTAACACAGGGACAGAACTGGCCAGAAAACGCCAACCATCAAAACAGTCAAAATTTTCTTGCATGTGTGCTTGCGTCGATAGCCTGCCATCTGTCCAAACCACACAGTGTTTAGGAACTGCTGGCAGTTAGACTGGGCAACAAACTGAGAAAAAAAGAAACAAGAAATCACTCTTAGGTTTCATTACTAATTTACATTATTACAATTCATTTTCAAACTATGTGTAGTTACCAAAGAACAGGAAAAGGCAAGAACATTAAGTTGAAATAATTATGAGAAAAGTGCTATGGACCCATTATGATTATAAAAACCCCTAATTTTAATTTCCTTCTAAAACCAGCGACTAAACACGAATTATACATACTAGACTTCTAATGCTTTTCAGGTCTAGATTGATTTTTAGTTTCTAATTATTTAGAAATCTAGCATATAAGTAACATCATACCTCAGACAACTTCACTGTTTGTTATTATAAAACACAGTGATTGTATCTGAAGAATAACATACTGCTACTGTAAAATAGTATCAACATTGTAAAACACAGCATCTGAAAGATGAGTTCTATAGTGGTCAAGCAGTTCTATACATATCAGTTCTTAAAAACATGGCTTTATTCAGCAGGGTTAATTTTAAATCAGAGTAAGCTACGTTGTATTAATCCCTCTAAAGAAGATAATTTTGGTCTGAAGGTCATGAAGGTTATGCAAATATACTTTCAAATATCAGATGCTTATTTCCATGGAGTTACCAAAGAATGTAACTCCATGCAAATGTACAGAATGTAATGTATAGAATGTAATCAGAGGATGCTTTATCATTTAATTTTAAAAAAATATCAGCAAAAAGAACTTTGATATTATCATCACATTTTAGGAAGCATTACAAAAAACCGTCTCTGTAGTAAACTTGCCAAGAATAAAATGTATTCTGCAAAGATACTCTCCTCATACCACGAAAAAATGCTGTTATTCTCCAGCCACTGTGATAAAATCAAAGTATGCTCAGAACCAGAAGAACATTTGAACTACTTCAGAATGCTTGTTTAATGCATACCAGAAATGTGTAATGTTAGTTTTAAGACGTTCCATAACTATGGTTTATGACTTTTAAACACTATGTATTTTAACAGCTTCACAAACAGTTTATGCCTAGATACATAGAACAGAATTATAATGCCTTCTGCAAATGCTAACTGAAAATGGGGTTTGCATGGAAAGGAAACTTTCTCTCCATCCATGTTTTTTCTACTAGAATCTATAAATACCCATTTGTCTGCTAGTACAGCAAAACCAGAGTAATAATTTGTCAGGTGATGAAGACAGTAACGACCTACTGCATGAATTAAGTTCCATACTGATGGCATAAAAAGTCACCACTTCTCTGGGGCAGAGGCACTATTCAGTTACACCAGCATAAGTCTAACAGTTCTGAACAGCACAGACAAGGCCTGAACCAAAGCTGAACAGCTGATGACAAGTGAGAAGATGACAAATCGTGGGTGGCACTTAAGGATCCATACTTCCTAAACTACTACTAAAAGGATTTAATGAGGATCTGAACAAATAATACCAGAGCTGTTCATAAAAAAAGAGGAGGTCTATACTCCAATACAGAAAATATGACATTCTTCTCTACAGTAAACATTGAACAAATACTCAGTATCTTGCAGCATTACATCCCTTTTTCACATACATATGTCCTGTGTATTACTGTGTCTTCTGCAACTCTGTCAAATTTCTACTATTTCACTTCTATGTCCACAGGCAGAACAACAAATTAAATTAATTACTAACAAAATATGATACGGAGAGCCTATCAAATTATTGCAAAGGCAAACCTCTTTTTGATTATATTTGATGGCAAGTTTCAAGCGACTTAAGTTCATCCTCTCCTCCAGCAGCCCTCTCTTGTCTACGTGCTCGTCGCTGGACGTGTGGTTCAGAATGACTTCCAGCTCCCGGGAGTTCCGTGCCTGCGCAAGCAGATCTTTAGCAAAGGTTTTGCACTGTTGAGCTAGCTCCTCATAATCATTTCTGAAAGACAAGGAAACAGTACAGACTGCTACACTGTTCCCATATTTACCATTCAATCACTGACTATTTTTGTTTGGGATTGTATGTTGAGCTGAGACAAATAAAGAACCCAAGGGAACAGTCACTTGTCAAGACCCAAGCGTTCTGAAGGCAATTCTGAGTAGGTTTTGCCATGCAACATCACAATTACAATTCAGTTTAGTTTGCAGCTCCACTGGATAAACTGAGAAACAGACGTGGAGCATACAAATTCTTATCTTATAAGCTCCAAACCAAGAGTTAAAGCTTAGAATTATTTCCAGAATATTAGAAAAGTGTGGTAGCCACAGAATATTACATTTGGAGTTTGCACTTGGAAGTGAAGTCTGAAAATTAAAGTATATTCACTGAATTCAAATTATTTAGTAATATAGTAAGCACAAGAAGTTACACTATTTGCTTGTCATAACTGGTACAGTCCATTTTAGTAACAAGTTGAATCACAAAAATGCAACAGTTAAAAATTAAGACAAACAGCTATAAAACCAGAAAATTTTTATCTTGTTCAGGAAAGCAAAATTTTACCCTAGATACGAACATTTGCTTTCATGTTCTCATAAGAAATGCCTGCTTTTGTGCTGGTCAATTTCACAGTGGTAGAAACCAGCATAACTTAAACATAAAACTATACTGAGCATTTGTTTATTTTCAGCATGAAATCTTCTACACGCATGCATATATACACACACATGCTGCTCCAAGTCTTACAATATTAGAAGCAGAATTAAGAAACAATACCCAAAACAAATTCCAACATGAGTCAGATCATGATAAACAAAGCATTATAAACTGTTGCATACTTCTACCCTGATGTAATGAAAAAAAAAGTGCAGACTAATAATGAGATATTGATATGATTAATAGGTGTGTGATCTTTAAGCCAGCCAGCATTTTTCATTTTTATTTATTTTTCCAGACTAAAGCTGAAATATGAACAGCTGATAGTACTATACAGGTTGGACTGTCTACACCTGAAAGGATTTAAAATAATTAAGCTGTCAAAATGACGGCTAATGAGGCATAAATTATATTACATAACTTGTTATTATGTCTAATTATCAGTTTAAATACTCCAATTACAAAAAATTAGGGATACACCTTTTTAATGCATACATATTTCTGTACACGTAATTTCATAAAAGTTTCCAAGTTGGCTTGTTTTCAATCCCTACCTGAACTCAACCTCGACAAGGCTCAGTTCTTTCAAGTCTGCACTCAGTTCAAAGGCTCTCAGGATTGGGTCTTCCTCTGTCAGCATGATCAGAGCAGGACTGGCCAAGCAGCGGTAGATGTCAAGGCGGAACCTGTGACAGAAGAACAGCAAGCACAACGGAGACGCTTCGTTTGATTAGCAGTTTGAAACCAGAACCTGCTCCAAAAGTTTGCACACGACAATCAGCTAACAGACAAAACAACTGAGTTTCCTAAAATCAGACACTACAAGCATTAAACGTGATACGTCATGGATGACATTAGCCTTCATATACTCAGAACCCCCATTATTCTAACTATCAAAAATTGGCTAAAGTGGCTTCCTCTTCTTTTTCTCACTAGTTCAACTGTTACCAGTACATCAGCAGAAAGATATTGGCTAAGGTTAACAGTACTGGTAAAATTTTGCTATTTTTCAGTGTTACACAGCACCTGTTATGGTTCTTCAGGTGGGAATAGGAGAGGGAAGTAAAGCATTTAAGGCAATGGCAGAATGGCAGGGGTTGGAAGGGACCTCTGGAGATCATCTAGTCCAACCACCCTGCTGAAGCAGATTCACCTAGAGCAAGCTGCACAGTCTGTCAGTCGGCACAACTAAAAAGAGTCTGTCCCCGACCTCTTCAGACCTGTCCTTTTTTATAAGCATTGGCAAGATCCCCTCTCAGTCTTCTCTCCTGCAGGCTAAACAGACCCAGGTCTCTCAGCTTTTCCTCTAAGAGAGATGCTCCAGTCCCCTCATCACCTTTGTAGCCCTCTGCTACAGTTCCTTCTCTCTCTTGAACTGCACAGTCTAGAACTAATTAAAGTGCTTCAGATGTGGCATCACTAGAATGTGGCCTGTAGTATCTGAGTACCGGTAACAGTCATCCTTTCACTTCCCCTATTTTTACACACTGAAGTAATTATGTAACAATTAATTGTATATTTTAATTGTTGTACAATTACGCTCCTTGAGCTCTGTGATTTTTCACACCAACTCTCATATATTAAATTATATTGAACCCTCAAATATGTTGTCAAGTTAAACAGACAAAATATTCTTAAGATTGGTAAATCCCTCTCCTCATTTGAACCTTTATTAAAAAGTTTTCTACTTTCAAAAATACTTAAAGAAGAAAAATTGTCTTTATTTTGCATTCATCAATTCATGTTACATCAACACTTTCAGAAACAGAACATAGAATTATTCACCTCTTCATTGTGGCTCAAAAAATCCCAAGTATTAACTAAGTTAAGAAAAATGTCAGTTGCACAGCTCCTGCGCTCCCAAGCCAAGGATAACTAGAATGTTTGTCACCACAGGCAGAAAAGAAAGGCACTCAGCTTAATACACACAGTGACTAAGAGTACAAAACCGAAAGGAAAACCCAAGATGAAAACCAAGCACTGTCTCCCACAACCTTTTCAAGCAAAACCCGTCCCCAAGAACTACCATCTCTCACAAAAAAGGCTGTAGCATATTAAGGGAATCCACTCAAATATCACCTTAAAGAGAAACAGGAAATACAATTAATCTGAGCCCCAAAACACCAGACAATTAAGAAAAGATTTTTAAAAAATTGTCTATGTCTGCCAAGTCTTACCTGGAATGTCGCAGGCTATCTTTTTTGTTCTTTGCAGTACACAGGGTGCACTCACAGCCAACAGCATGAGGCTTGGGCAAGGATATATCTTGCTTTAAAAGCATGGTGAGAATTTCATAGTTGTTACGATGAGCAGCTAAAATGACAGGTGCCACGTCCATGGTGGTCGAGTACTCTGGGTTCTGAATGCGCTCCATTAGTTTCTGGAATAAAATATAGGAAGCACCTAAATTTATTACATGTAGTTCTACGACAGTGTTTACATGTAAAGGGTTTCTTGAATGCCCAACCATTGATGTCTCCTTCAAAATATTTTCCCATGTTCCATAACATGAATATAAGGAAAAATTTATATCAACATTCAAAGACATCTCAGATAAATACTAGATAAAGAAAAATGGATAAAGAAATGTTTCTCATTTATTTACATGGAAAGCTAGAAATTCAGTGCCTACTTCCTTCAGTATACATTCATGATCTTAAAAAGCATATTTTGCTCTAGTTTTATAAAAAAAGATATGAGTACCTTTACTATCTACATGGTACCATACTCTTGTCACACAAAACCTTATTCCTTCCCACCCTCCACCTCTACTTGTGAACTTTTAAAAGTTTTTTGATACTTTAGCATTGCCAAGATAAGTTTCAAACAATAAATTTCTTGGTGAAGAGTCGATGTTTATAGAATTGCTTAAAAAATCTAGGAAGCTTCAATATATGAATATACCTGTTATAGTTCAAGCCTGCTAATTACTTTGCAAACAGCCTACAAGAACAGATTTATAACCACTCTATTTTTTTCTCTTCCGGACTAACTGGGCATCTGTTAGTATTTGGAACATATAAAGCCACTGAATTCCTTAGGTTGTAAAGAAAAATTACATAAGACAAAAGAGGCTATAGAAATAATCCCTGATGTCCAGATTCTGTAACCTTAGAGATGTACAGTTTAAGAAAATTGTTTCAAATACTACCGTTACCCAGAATGCAATAGCACAGCTCCCCCACTCCCCGACCAAAAATCAAGGAATAACACCACTCAACCACAATAGTGGGTCTGGAGGATCTTTTTGGTCGGTGATTAAGCAGAATGTCAACAGCTCCCACCACTTCTGAGTCAATAGCCACCAAAAGTGCATCCGACGACTATGGAAAAAGAAAACAAGTCACATGTGAAACCAGCAGTAAGTTAGCATAAACAGCCAATCTGAAGCAAAACTGCAGTTTGGGTTGGTGTTTTTTTACATTCTCTTCTGAAGTTCTGTGATGTTCTGTATTATCACCACGCATATGATCAAGACAAATTCAGACTGTCATTTCAGAAGTTAGTACGGTATTACTGACTATTTGTTTCGTTGCAGGAAGAGCAGAAGAACCAACTGCAGAAATTACATTCCAGGAAAAATTACTTGCAAAAATCAAGTTCTAAAGGACAGTTTACCAGGTTATTAAAAATCTTAAAAGTTAGGGTCTGTGTAACATAACTCAGGCATATAGGATGCTTCAGCTCTGCATTTGGTGTTCTGTGGTAAAGCCAGGAACCTAAGCTTTTATTTCTGGGCTTCAGCTTCTCCTAAGTTGAGCTAAGCAGCTTTTCATTTTCCCTACCATTGACATTCTTTTTCATTCACTTGAGAAAATCCAAGTTTTCACTTTAACAATAGAAGAAAAAGACACAGCTTTTATTGTCACCACTAAAAAGGAGATTCAGAAAGAGGAAAGTGTGGAGGTTTTTTTCAGGTCCAATATCAGATAACCTAAAAAAAGATACTACTTCTCCCTGTCTTATGTACTTAGCCATCACAGCTCCAACTCTCCCAGTAGCAGCAGAGATGTTGCATGTAGTTAAGGAAGTATCGTTGGTATGAACTTGTCTCTACCACTAAGCACAGATCAAGTTTAACAAGAAATCACTGCAGAAACACACGCTCACCTTAACTTAAAATCATCTAACATAATACGCATTTTTCTGACTGTGCTACCATTTGAAAAGCTATTATACACCACAGCCAAAGAGACCTCTACACTTTTTAATACGTTGTACTCTGATTATATACTGTTTATTTTGGTTGAATATAATGTTATTCCTGTTGTAGGTAATATATGCATTTAAAAGAAAATTCAGACTTGTTAATATAATTGAAAATGTCACTCTACATTTGCCATGCCAATAAAGTCCCACTAGAAAAGTAAGCTACTGAGAAGAATGCACTTTTACAATTACTAAAAAGAACTCAACTTGCTATTAAGACAGATTTTACTTCCTTCTAAATTCTGACAAATTAAGAGAGAACATATATAAGGAGTACACAGATTAATGACTACACTGAAGGTTTCCAAGAATGTATGTGTTGTATACCTGGCAGCCATAATCCAAAAGCAGCTGTAGTATGTCCAAGTTTTCATTTTCAATGGTTATGGTAACAGCATTTCGTCCAAGCACATCCACACAGTTTATGTTCATTTTGCCAGAGCTGTTTTCCTCTAAGAGTTTCTTAACCATGTAATAGTCACCTGCACAAGTAATGTAGGAACATCACAACATTTTAAGTACCAGCTATCACCAAATAAGAGAACATTCCATAACTGACAAGAGACATTGACTGTCAGACAATTCAGAAGTCAAGGTAGATAAGCATTCTCTCCTCAGAGAGGAAACTAAAGGTATTTTAGGAGATCTCTTTTAGATCCAGTCCTAAAAAGAAATGCACAAAAGAGCAAGGGTAATTTTCAGAACTGAGGCAATAACCTGGGAGACCCAGTAAACACTAAGTTAAACTACATCAAAAGAGACTTCTTGGTTCAAAAAAAGCTAGAGAAGCCCTCTCCACAATGCTGCTAACAGGTTTGGCACCCTCCCTTAGCAGAAGCCACATCAGTCTGCCGTGTATCACTCCAATTTTAGTGTATACACTATCAAAGCAAGTGTGATACAATGCTGCAATGCTATAATAAAGCAAGCTAGCAAATTTGTTAAGTAAAGCTAACTACAGTAAAAGGTATATAAACTGCACTTTCCTATCTGACTGAAGTATAGATGCACCAAGCTGCCCTGCTCATTATTATTTTGTTTAATTTATTCTCCTTGCCAAAGAGAAAAGCTTTGAAATTTTTTTTTCTCTAGGGTAACAAATTATTTTGCAACATAGAAAACCATGACAAAGATAGACCTTAGCATAGACTACTTAAAGAATTATATGTACAACGCTTCTGTGTGCAGTAGAATACATAAGAGTCTTAAATAACCACTCGTTATACAGCCAGTTGTATTTTTTTTAAACAGTTTTCATTTCACATCCTTTTAGCTCCCTCAGCATGTGTTTATACTTCAAAAGCTGTGGCTCAGTCTGACCTTCAGAACAGGCTACGCCAGAAGCGTGGCCGCAGGCAGTGCAGCTGTCTAGCAGCAGGGCATCCCACCACAGAAAGCATCACAACCAAGTCACTAATCCTGCTGGCCAACACCGCTGCTGCGGAAATACTCCCGGGGTTGTGAACTCACCTAAACGCATGGCCAGCAGACGGCTCTGCATAGAAATACACCAGCTTCTACAACCATGCTTATAAGGTCATAGAGCACACGTAACCATTCCGCACATGATTAAAAGCCCATCGTTACCGTCCAACATTTTGGACATCTTAGGATCAGTTTAAGACTGTGTCTCTACCCAAGAGTAACTAAGTATATGCTTAAAGAGAGTAGTACCTTTTAGAAAGGAAAATCTCTTCCATCCACCACCATGGGTGCAAACCACGGGAAACTAATCTCTCCCGTTCTGGGGATGTCTAGATAAACCTCCAGTTCTACAACTCACTGACTCTTTAACAGTGAACGCAGCAAATATCTTACGAACTCTTCTGACACAAAAGGAGCTCCCTCACACACAAAGGACGAGCTGGCCCAACGCGCCCCGTCCCCAGTCGCCGGCAGGTCCCGGGGGCAGGAGGCGG